GTTGATCTATCCATTGTTGATAGTGGTGTGTTGAAGTCTCCCACTACATATGTGTTTTCTCTGATGTCTGTTTTCAGAGATGACAACAGTTGTCTGATATATTTTGGTGCTCCTTCGTTTGGTGAGTATATGTTAATTAGTGTTATTTCTTCTTGAATTATTGTCCCTTTGATCATAACGTAGTGACCGTTGGGATCCCTTTTTATTTTTTTGAGTTTGAAATCTGTTTTATCTGATATAAGTATAGCTGTTCCTGCTTTCTTTTTTGGTCCATTTTCTTGTACAATTGTTTTCTATCCTTTAACTTTGAGTCTATTTTTATCTTTTGTAGCTAAATGTGTTTCCTGGAGACAGCAAAAGGTTGGGTTTTGTTTCTTAATCCAGGCTGCAACTCTGTGTCTTTTTATTGAAGATTTTAGTCCATTTACATTTAGAGTTAGTATTGATATGTTAGCATCTGTATTTGCCATTGTGTTTGTCTTTCCTTTGATTTTATTTATTCTTTGGATATCTTTTTTTTCCCTTGCCTTCTTTCATTGTTATTCGTCCCTCTGAGGTTCTGGCTTTAGGATTCCTTGTAGTATTTTTTGGAGTGGGGGTTTATTGGTAATGAAGTTCCATAGTTTCTGTTTGTCTGGGAAGGTCCTTATTCTTTCTTCATAGAGGAAGGAAAGCTTTGCGGGATAGAGTATTCTTGGTTGACATCTGTTTTCTTGGAGTCTGTTGACTATGTCCTTCCACTCTCTCCTTGCCCGTAATGTTTCTTCAGAGAAGTCTGATGTCAGCCTTATTGGTTTTCCTTTGAATGTTATTTGTTTCTTCCCTCTTGTCAGCTTCATTATTTTTTCCTTGTCCTCGATTCTTGGGAGCTTCACTATTATGTGTCTTGCTGTATTTTTCCTTTCGTCATGGAAGCTTGGTGTTCTTCCTGCTTCTTGTATATCAATTTTCAGCTCCTTCTTCACATTTGGGAAGTTCTCTTCAATTATCTCCTGGAATATTTTCTCTGTTCCTACATCTCTCTCCTCTCCTTCTGGTATTCCTATAACTCTTATATTTCCTTTCCTCATGGTGTCAAGATAGTTCCCGAAGTCTTTCTTCATTCTTTTTCCTTCGTACTTCTCTTTCCTTTTCTGTTTTGGTTCTTTTTATTTCTGTGTCTTCAAGAGAACTTATTCGTTCTTCCATTTCATCTATTCTGATTTCATTGCTTTTCCCAGAATTCTTTAGTTCTTCCATTAATTCTTTGATCTCCTGCATTTCTTTTACTTCCCTCTTTAGGGACTCAATTTCATTCTTCTGATCGTTGATTATTTTTCCCTTATCATTGTTTTCCTTTATGAGTTCTGTCATTTTTTTAATCTTGGCAATTTTAAATTCTCTTTCTGGAAGGCTCAGAAGTTCTTCCAGGTTACTGTCATTGCAATCTGGGGGCTGGTTTTCTTTTTGTGGTGTGCTTCTTCGCTGAGGAGTTGCTATGTTGCGTGTGGTTCTTCTACTACCTACTGTGTGTTTTCTAATTTGCCATATGCGTGGGGACACTGTTGCTGGGACTGGCCGGCATCTTGGGTGAGCTTCTCTGCTCCCCTCTGGCTCCTCCGGGAGCCATCTGTCAGTTTCAAGCAGTCTTTACTGAAGAAAGGTCCCTGTTCTAAAATGCCGATGTGGGGACACACTCCCCTGTGCTCCTGGTCTGCCCCGGCGGTGGGTTCACTCTCCCCCTCTGGGCTTGGACTGCAGGCCAGAGGTGTTCTGGTGTGGGCGAACTTCCCCGGCTCACCGCTGGCTCCTGAGGGAGCCTTCTGCAGGCAGTCTTTACTGAAGAAATGTCCCTGTTCTAAAATGGCGATGCAGGACACACTCCCTGCGTGTCCAGTCTCAGGCACACTCTACTGCGCGCCTGGTCTGCCCCGGCTTTGGGTACTCGCTCCCCCTGTGGGCTCAGACTACTGGTCAGCAGGGGCCCCGCGTGGGCTAACTTCCCAGCTGGCCACTGGCTCCTCCAGGAGCCTCTGCTGGTTTCAAGTTGCTAGGTGGCGCCAGAGATCTCTCCTAGAGCCCTTGGGGAGCTGTTTTTTTTTTTTTTTCCTTTCTTTTTCTTTTCTTTTCTTTTTCTTTTCACCCCGTGGGACAGGAAACAGAGTGGGAATGGTAGGGTAAACCTCAACAGCTTTGGGGTGCTGTGTCTGCCTTGTGCCCCACCATCGTGGAGAACCCACGCCCCGAATTTTGTGCTCCAGATCTCAGTTCCAAAGCCCTCAGGTCCAGGACGCGGGCTGTAGCCCAGTTCAGTGTCCACAGAATGGCGTCTTTTGCACCCCGCTCCCGTGCCTGGGTGCCTGGTTCCTGGATACTCAGTGAGGGACTTTCACCTCAGTGAGGGTCTTCGCGCGCGTCTCCCTGTAAGCCTAGGTCGCAGGCGCGGGGACCTGGGCAGCCATGATCCCAATCCGCGTTTGCTTTTCAACCATGCTGCTTTTCCCGTGCTATCCCGATCCCGATCTGCGTTTGCTTTTCCAGTGCACCGCTTTTTGCGCAAGCTTACCGATCCCGATCTGCGTTTGCTTTTCCAGTGCACCGCTTTTTGCGCAAGCTTACCGGGCGGCCCGGGGCTGTGTGCTGGTGCTGGTCTCCTCCTGGGGGGCGGGGTCTCTCTTTAATGGCTCCCGGAGCTCACAGCCACAGCGAATCCTGCAGGGTTCTCCGCAGCTCCCGTTCACGGGGTGTGGTGGCTGCAATAGTTCCTTTCCACTCACAGTCCCACTTGCTGCGTAGTTTGTTCTTGTTGGTCGTTTTAGTGTGTTTTTTTCCTCCTCTCTGCCGGTCGGAGAGTGCCGACTCTGTGGGTGGGGGAGGGGAGCAGGGTTCTGCGCTTTCCTCCCTTCTAGTCCTCTTTTATGGCCACTTTCTTCTTCGGGCAGTTTGCTGGAGTCACCCGTTTATCTTCCGTGTCCCAGTTCTCACTGGGACCTGCCGCTTTTCCTCCCTATTAACTTTTTTTAATGGGAGATCTTACTCGCAGCGTCTCCTCGCCGCCATGTTGCTCTGCCCTCCCCTATTTTTGTACTTCTTTTTTTTTTTTTTTTTTTTTAAAGATTGATTTATTTATTTATTTATACAAGCACCGGGTACAGTCAGAAGTGCGGGAGGGTGAGAGAATTCACCAGAGCCAGAGTGGGGAGCAGAGCAGGCAGAAGGACTGAAGTACACTGCTGAGGGGAGCAGCGGGCGGCAGGAGAGGTCTGCGCGCCATGTGGGACCCTCCTCCGGTGGCCGGGGAGCAGCCAGGGATCAAACCACCGGTGCTGCAGAGGCTGCGGGCAGCTTCGCAACCCAGCGCTCAACCGCTGCGCCACCGGGGAGGCCCTATTTTTGTACTTCTTAATTCCCATTCACCTAATACTTGACATTGTTTAACATTTTGGTGTATTTTATTTTTACTTCTCAACTAAACAAGAAACCTGTCAAAGGCAACATTCCGCTCCCTTTTGTCATCTATTCCCACTGCCAGCAGCAGTGTACATGCACTAGAAGAGGCAGTAAGTGATTAGAGAGTTAAACGCATTCAGTTTGATGATGCTTACCTGAATCTTTTCTATACATGATTTTTTAAAGAGTATGTTTGAGGGAACACATTAGAGGTATAGATTTGCACGCGCACACGTGCACACACACACACACACACATAGAGATTTATTTTATTTTTATTGAAGTACTAATCTTTTACTTCCTTGCTAGTGTTTTGACAGGATAGGATTTTGACTCCCAGTGTAGTCACCATAGCCTTACCATCACCGAAGTGCCCATAGTCCTCCACCAACTCCATTATATATTTAAACTTTGCTGTATTCCTGGGGGGTTTTTGTTTGTTTTTGCTGTTGTTATACATTCAATGAGGTGAGAAGAGTAGAAGGAGGGATATGTATAATAATTTGGGTGTATTTGTTTTCATAAATTGTAGTGGTTTTTGTTGCCTAAATCTCAGACAACAAAAGAATCCAAGCTTTCAGACTGAATTTTTTTAGCCTTCACAAATTCTAGAAAATTTAATCAAGAAAACTTACTCCGAAGGGGCCTTCCCGGTGGCGCAGCGGTTGAGTGCTGGGTTGCGAAGCTGCCCGCAGCCTCTGCAGCGCTGGTTCGATCCCCGGCTGCTCCCCGGCCACCGGAGGAGGGTCCCACATGGCGCGCAGACCTCTCCTGCCGCCCGCTGCTCCCTTCAGCAGTGTACTTCGGTCCTTCTGCCTGCTCTGCTCCCTGCTCTGGCTCTGGTGAATTCTCTCACCCTCCCGTGCTTCTGACTGTACCCAGTGCTAGTATAAATAAATAAATGAATGAATGAATGAATAAATAAATAAATAAATAAATCTTTAAAAATAAAAAAAAAAAACCTTACTCTGAAGATTTAGAAGTGTTCAGTTTTAATTTGTTACCATTTAAGGGGCAGTAAAATGATGAAGATACCTTTTGGGTTTTTTTAAAGATTTATTTTACTTATTTTTTGCATACAAGAACTGGGGTGTATACCAGAGGTATGGAAGGAGTATATGGGGAGTGGTGAGTGTACACACCAGAGACAGAGTGGGCAGCGAAACAGGTGAATTGACTGAAATACACTGCTGAGGGGAGCAGCAGGCGAGTCAGGAGAGGTCTGCTGTGCCATGTGGGTAGCTCCCTGGCGGTGGATCAAACTCGTGCTGCAGTGGCTGCTCATAGCTTCATAGTGCTGACTTGACCCCTACCAATAGCAGAAAGGGCGTATAAAAGTTGATGTATTTTGTCATTAAAATAGACATTGCCAACATTGCAGTTTTTATACTGGGAGATTCATCTTTTGTTGGTTTCCTTTTCTTTCTTCTCTCTCTCCCCCTCCCCCTTCTTGTTTTCTGTCTTTCTCTCTCATACAACATACACACAACTCAGTTTTCACATCTTTCTTTCATAGTTTTACTTTGAATTTTTTCTTGATGGAATCTTGTTTTTGTCGGCTTATTTCTTAGATGGGAAGTGATGGAATTTTACGCCTCAGTACATCGGCTCTAAATAATGAATTCTTTGCATATGCAGCACAAGGATGGAAACAGAGACTGGCAGAAGGTAAATTTCTATTTTCCATTATTATTTGACATATTTGAGCATACATGCTACTGAGCTTTGTACCTTTCTCTGATTCCAAGTCTTTTTCCTACCACTGAAGAGTATTTTAATTTCATAAAAGTTCACACCCTCTTCCAAATAACTTCACTAATTCTTTTATTATATGGGTTTTTGATATCTGATATTTTTAAAGAAAGTGTGATGTTATCTGGGACATAATTAAAACATTTTGATACAAGAGTATTTTCTTTGGAATGTCCTTTGAATTACACTATTGTATGTGTTGTATATTAATATCCTGGAGCTTAAAGAATCATCTTTTAATGCATTCTGACCCTGAAACCACATTGTCTTTCTTTTTGATACAAAATTTCTTGAGAGACTAAATACCCAGTAGTACCACATTTTTACTCCCTCACCTCCTCAGGTTGGTATAGTTGAATGTGACTATGCACAACTGAAATAACCCCTACTAAGAGAAACACCTATGGTTTTCTAATGGCAGAATCTAGTTTGTTCTTCTCATCCTTACATTCCATGTTCCTTCTCCATGTTCCATTTGCTTTATACCCCATTCATTTAGAAATCATCTATTTTATAAAGATAGACATCCATAATACACTTTTAATTATTTCCAGGACTACATTTTGACAGTCATTTCTCAGCCCCTTTGAAGAGCTCTTCTTCCATCTGATGTGAAATGTTGATGTCTCCTCACTTTCTCTCCTGAAACTTTCTTCTGTAACTATATGTATTCTCTGAGCAACTTCACTCAGCATCTTGGTTTCATACAGAGAACTTCCAATCTAGCTCTTATTCCTCTTCCTAGTTATTTATATTAATATTCTATCCTAAATGTGTAGCAGTTTCACTAGCTCATATCAAGCACCTTTAAACCAGAATTTCAATATCTACTATTTATTCTACCTTCTCTCTTTCTGTTAATGTCACCACTGTTACATACATCCTCGCTCTAAAATCTTGATGATAGTTTTGATCCTCCTCCTCCTTCCCACATTCATTTGGTCAAGAGCTGGTAATTGTGCCATGAATCAGAATCCTCTACACAATGCCCCCAGCTACTGGCCAGACTGTAGTCTCCATCTCTCACCTATGCTATTCAGTAGCCTGCTATCTGGAGTCCTCCAGTTTCTTCACTCTGTTTCTGAGCTGCTTATGTGGCCATATGTCTCCTTCCTTGACCACCAGCACCTTCTTCAGTCTCTTCTAGGAAGAAATCAAAACTCTAAAACCTGCACTGGGTAATTGGCTTTGCTCTAGAGTTCCCATTTCATTTCATACCGTGCTGTACTCTTACCAGCCACTCAAAAGACAAAAAAATACATATTCATATCTCTGTGCTTGTGATTTAATGATGTGCTTGATCATCCCTCAAAAAGCAATTCAACAATCAGTTCTGAATATGTGGTTTTTCCTAATCAATTTAGGCAGAACTAAGTGCTTTTCCTTCTGTGCTTTTACTACCTTTATTCTTATGACTACAAAGGATGTTAAATTATAGTCAGTGGTGTTCCTTTTCTTCCACCAGGTTGACTTCAGTATGGGCAGTCAATATACACTTTGTATTTGCAAGTCCTACCTTGAAGTACACTTGCTAAATGTCTTAGAGATCCTCTATCACTAAGTCACGTTTTGAGGGATGTTTACAGAAAGAAGCTGTAGAATATTTTCAGTAATCTCTTACTTTTCAATGTCCATAAAAGTTTACAAAAAAAATAGTTTTTTTTTAATAATTGGCAAAAGGTAGTGACCACTTTTACTCAATTTATAATGTTGTCTTTCTAGGAGAATTTACTCCAGAAATGCAATTGCGAATAAGGCAAGAAATTGAGAAGGAAAAGAAAACGGAACCTTGGAAAGAAAAATTCTTTGAAAGGTTTTATGGAGAAAAGTAAGTACTAGAACATTTTTTCCTCATTTCTCTTAGAAGGAAATGAAAATGTAATTCTCTGCTTCACATAGCACACTCATATGCTGTAAAACTTAATAAGCATATGATAAAAGGCAATAGTCCCTCAGTGTAAGAAATTGCAGGTAAAATTATAGTGGCATATCAGCACTTAAATTTTAAAAAATGCATTTCAAGGGTTTATAACTTGTCCATGAAAATTCATTTTTGACTGAAAATAGCACATGAAATCCAATAGAAGTCATTTTTGGCTTTCTTAACTGGATCTTCATAAAAATCTCCTGCTTTTTTATCCTAGTACTTTCATTAATGAATACTTCAGAGATAAGTAGTTTTAGACACATATTCTCACATTTTCAAAATATGTTGACTGTGCACATACATTTGCTTAGTCCTTGATTTTTGGGAGAAGCTGCAAAATTATTACCCTCTATCTATGTTCTCCTTCAGGTGTAGCCTGATTGTAACATTTTCTTTTCACTTTTTATGTGTTTTTTTTTTTTTTAAATAATACCAGCCACACATAAATTTGGTAGTGACTGAACTCCACTGAAAATGGTTTCTCCTTTGCCCTGCAGTTAACAGTCACATATTGTATTTGGCAGGATTAGGTTTCCATAGGCCATCCATCCCTAAGAAAGGAGGAGGGACTTGAAGGCTGAAAATTGGTCTTTTCAGTAGGTCTTTCTTCATAGTAGAGCATTTATACTCTAACTGCCAGATACATAATTGATGCTTGAGTATAACTGTCGTGTATAGAAGACGCTGAGGTTGTTATAGGTAAAAAAATCTGTACCATTTGATCCAATTTCACAAACTTTCACCCATTAATGAAGAAAACCATGCAAGGAAGCTCGCATGAATGCTCCTCATGAAAAGGGATCACATTATTGATTAACAACCTGCTTTCTGAGAGTAAACCAGCCTTTGGTGTATCTCCCTAACTAGAGGTAGTTTCCATTAGAAAGGAAGGCTGAAGTTTAATGGCTATCCCAGGATTCCTGGGTACATGTACATATTTCAGGAAAATGAAAAAGGGGAAGTTACTATATTTTCTCAAAAGTTAAAGATGTTATATATATTTATATATAGTTGTGAGCAGAATAAACTCAAATCTGGTTGCATCAAAATCCTCACTGAAGCTTTTAAAATAGAGGTAAATTTCTGGGATCCACCCTAGGCACACTGAGAATTTCCAGTTGAATGTATTATTGGACACTTTCCAGGTGAAGTTGATGCCCAACAGGACTAAGAACCATGAAGAATGACACTGAAGATCATTCAGGAGGCTTCTCTCACCCTTTGCTGACAAAAGGGATGTTGGGAACAGTTTAAGTAATGACATAAGCATAACCAAATTAGTTACCCCCAAAGCACCGGTTCCTAACTGATCCCAACACCAGTCTCTTTGGCTGTGTGCTGGGTTCTTTTTTGAATTAATTCAACATTATTTACCTAACCTTTCCTCTATGATGAACACTGTAGAAGATGCCAGAGGTACAGTCATTTATAGGGCTTCCTAGACTCTTCCTGCAGAGAGCCCACATTCTAGAGACCATGCATTACATAGAGCGCCTCTTGATTCAGTACATAACCATTGAATATGCTCTGGCTCTGATAGATTTCTAGGAAGTGTGCAAACATTATTTCAGATGGGCACCATTATTATTCTTATATTTTAAAACAGTTTGGGAAACTGAGGTGCAATGAAACTGAGTTCCCCAGTTTTATACATGGTGTGGTTCATTAACTTGCTTGGGGTCTTAATCCAGCAAATCCTCCTCAGAAAAATTCATACATACACATGCACTCTCAATTTTTACGTGAATTTGTGGGCTTCACAGACTCCCTAGCATACCAAGTTCAGGGCTTCTGCCTGGAAGATGACAATTACAGTATTGTGACTACACTTCCCATCACCATCACCTAGTTCTGGATACAAATGGTTCTTTCACTCGGTCCTTTTCTTTCTGTACGTAGAATTATCAATAGAATTTTTGTCCCCTTAGGGCATTGGGCTTCTTACTTGTTTTGATTTATCTTTGATTATATTTTGGATGTCATATGTATTTTGAATGCTTCATTGACTTCTAATTTTGTTACTTTTGGATTATCTACATTCCTCCAGTAGGTACAGGATGTTTCTTAGCATCAGATAATTCATTCAGATCGACACTGTGTGACTCTTTTTTGCTCTAAGTTTCTCAAGAATGTTGCCATCCAACTTGCCTCTAATTAAGATATGTCTGACTTAGTCTTCTGGCCTTTGTTTGAAATCTTTGCCTTTATTGACTTACTCTGCATATAATATAGCACTGTTCTATGTTCAGTTTAGTTATTTAGAGATCGCCCTTATATATGCTAACTCAGAGTTATACGAGTTGATCTGTTTATTTGTGATCTAGACTTTGGAGTTCAGGATTTCCTTTGCATTGTAAGTGATGTACTGTTAGCATCTTCCTTCTGTGCTTTTTGTCATCTTAGATGTATTTTCCCATAAAAATAATAAAATATTGACATCATCATATTTTATGCATTGCTGTTTGCTATGATATATAATATACATATATATTTAACTGCATTAAATATATTTAATAATACCCTTATTAACTGTCAGAAATTTGACTGCTAGTGGATAGATTGTTGTATGTTCTACATCTAACCAAGTACTAGTGGTACCTCCACTTGACCTAACCCAAAGTATCAGCTAGCTAATTGTTTTGCTTTAAATTTATCTGTAAATTAGTTACTCTGCTTCTCTACTAATAGTATAGTTATAAATGATAGCTTAGTTTGAACCCATCTTAGGGAAAGTAGAAAGAAAAAAGACTAGGTGTGAAGGGCCTCCCTGGTGGCACAGCGGTTGAGCGCTGGATTGCGTCTGCAGCGCCGATTTGATCCCTGGCTGCTCCCCAACCACTGGAGGAGGGTCCCACATGGCACGCAGACCTCTCTTGCCGCCCGCTGCTCCCCTCAGCAGTGTACTTCGGTCCTTCTGCCTGCTCTGCTCCCTGCTCTGGCTCTGGTGAATTCTCTCACCCTCCCGTGCTTCTGACTGTACCCAGGGCTTGTATAAATAAATAAAAAATAAATCTTTAAAAAAGAAAAAAAAGACTAGGTGTGAAGGCAGTACCTTCTTATCTTCCCAGAGCTTTCTGAATTTTGGTAAAGAAGACCACAATCAAATATCTAAAAAGTTTGTTCAATTTTACTTCCCTTTCATTTTGAAGATTTAATTTAAGTGAAAGGCTGAAGTAGATTCCACTGAGGATTTTTCCTGCATTGATACTATTATATCCATATTTCTTCATTCAAATGTGTTTCCTTCTCAGGAATAATCTTTTTTCTGCTTATCTTTGTAATTGACAGTACTCTAATTTAATTTAGAACAACATAATTTTCTACTATCTAGTCCTGATTTTATAACTTGCTATTACAAGAAATAGTGATTTATAGTATCTTTGATATAATCCTGATTAATTTTGCTTTGTTACCTGAACATTTATTTCTTGATAGTCGTTGCTATTTTTAATGGAATATTTTTACAGTAAGAGATCTACATGAAAGAATTTACATTTTCTTCACACAAATGTAATCTAGTAGAATCAATTTGATAACCCCAAATGTGTTTTGTTATTCTTTTTTCTAAATATTCATTTATTTATGCATACAAGAACTGGGATACATGCCAGAGGTGTGGGGGGTGAAAGGATTCACTAGAGAGATTGGGAAGCAGAACAGGCAGATCTACTGAAATACACTGCTGAAGAGAGCAGCAGGTGAGACAGGAGAGGTCTGCTGTGCCATGTGGGTTGCTCCCTGGCTGGCTGGGGATCAAACTCTTGCTGCAGTGGCTGCTAATAGCTTGGTAGCACTGTCTTTTACCCCTGAGCCACTAGGGAGGCCCTATTTTGTTATTCTTTAGTGAAATTTCCATATTACGTTAGACACCTAGATACCAAAATAAGGAGATTGAGTAAAATGTCTTATATTTCTTTAAGAGAATTTGGAAGTCATTGGAAATCATTTAAATTTTAAGGTTTTACAACATATCCACCTTCCACTGATCTTAATTATTTGGTCATATTGCATCCTCTGAAGACTGTGTAATTTTCTGTATTGACGTCTTTCTACTTTTTGACTTTCAAAGTTATGTCTTATACATTATTTTGCTTTTCTGTCCATATTTTCTAATCTTTTATACTTTGTAACTATCTTATTCCTTTTACTAATACTTAGTAAGGTTCATATCTCCTTGAATATAGAATAAAACTCTATTCCTTTTTTAACCAGAAGTCAATTTTATCTTAGTATAAAAGCAATGGAAAACTAACTCCTCATAATCTAGTTTACGTAAACCAAGCTTGATTTACACAAACCAAGTGACTATAAAATTAATTTGATGCATTTGCGTCTACTGGGCACTTTGCAAGAGATTCAAGTTGTGTCCCACATTATTTGTGATTCAACAATAATTTAAAAATTCTAATTTCTCTTCAGGTTGGGCATGTCAAGAGAGGAATCTATAAAGCTTACTTCTGGACCAAACAATGATGGAGCTGAAAGTAGTTCCTCATGTGGGACGTCTGGGCTTCCAGGTCTTTCTGTACAGACTCCCTTGGAAGAACAACACCCAAAAGGCATGAAAAATCCAGCTTCTCCAGAGCCTGATTTCTGTGCCACACTTTGTCCTATGGTAGAAGTAGGTAAAGATGTAATGGTAGAATCAGAATCAGAGGATATCTTGATCTCTGAAGAATCTGTAATTCAGGAGGAAATTGCAGAAGAGGTAGAGACTAGTATCTGTGAATGCCAGGATGAAAATCATAAGACAATCCCTGAATTTTCTGAGGGGTCTGAAAGTCCTGCCAACTCTCATGAAGAACCCTCAATCGCACCTCCTGAAGATAATTTGGAATCCTGTGTTATAATGAATGATGTTTTAGAAACTTTGCCTCATATTGAAGTTAAGGTAGAAGAGAAATCAGAACCTCCCCAGGAAGAAATGTCAGTTGTTATCAATCAACTGGAAGTATGTGACTCTTTTATTCCTTCCACTTCGTCTGTAACTCATGTCAGTGACACAGAACATAAGGAGCCAGAAACTACAGTAGAGACCAGTACTCCAAAAATAAAACCAGGGTCATCTTCTTTAGAAGAACAGTTTCCAAATGAAGGAATTGCTGTAGATATGGAGCTACAGAGTGATCCTGATGAACATCTTTCTGAAAATGCTTGCATCTCGGAAACTTCCTTCTCTTCCGAGAGCCCAGCAGGAGCTTGTACCAGTCTGACATCCCCAGGAGGGGAAACCCAATCCACTTCAGAAGAATCATGTACTCCAGCCTCCCTTGAGACAACATTTTGTTCTGAGGTGTCCAGCACTGATAATACAGACAAATATAATCAGAGAAACCCCACTGATGAAAACCTTCATGTTTCTTTGATGTCAGAAATATCTCCAATATCTACTTCCCCTGAAATATCAGAAGCATCTTTAATGTCCAATTTACCTTTAACATCTGAAGCATCCCCAGTTTCAAATTTACCTTTAACATCAGAAACATCACCCATGTCTGATTTACCTTTGACATCAGAAACCTCTTCAGTGTCTTCCATGCTTCTCACAGCTGAGACCACTTTTGTATCCAGTTTGCCACTTCCTTCAGAAACATCTCCAATTTCTAATTCTTCCATGAATGAAAGAATGGTACATCAACAAAGAAAGTCACCTTCCATATCTGAAGAACCACTCTCGCCACAGAAAGAAGAATCTTCTCTCCCTTCTAAATCCCTTGGAGAGAGCCTTCACTCTCAGCAAAAGACTATATCAAACACTCCTGAAGTTATCAAGATGGGTTCTTCCAATACTGAGGCATTTCCATCTGAAGAATTACACAATAAGACCCTGAGTCAGCAGTCTTGTAAATCACATGTTGAAACTGAGAACTCTTACCCTGCTTCAATTGCAGAACTCCCTTCAATGGAAATGATAAAAGTTAAAAACCATAATGTCCTACAACGAACAGACAAGAAAGGGGTGTCCTCACCATTGGAATTATCTGTGTTTACTGAGGAGACAGAAAGTAAGGGAAGTGAGCTTCCATCAGTCAAATTACAGGATAAGCAATACGTTCCACCAGTGGATAAGCCTTCATTTTCAGAAGGCTCTAGGAATAAAACACATAAGCAAGGGAGCTCACAGAATCGATTGGACACCTCACATAATACCAAGTCTTCAGAGCCCTCCAAGTCACCCGATGGCATAAGAAATGAAAATAGAGAATCTGAAATATCAAAGAGGAAAACTGCAGAGCAGCACAGCTTTGGAATTTGTAAAGAAAAGAGGGCTAGGATAGAAGATGATCAGTCAGCCCGAAACTCATCATCCGGCAGCCCACCCGAGAAAGAACAGCCTCCACGAGAGGAGCCCAGGGTTCCACCCCTCAAGGTATGGTATTTTAAAAAAAGGCAAACCTATAAATAGGCTTTTCCTACTGAGATAATTTAGTTTAAAAAAAAAATCAATGTTTTGTTTCCCTTCCAGGTTTTATGTACCCATTTATAATTTAAGATTCCCAGTACCCAGTCTGCCATTCAGTTATTATTTCTAAGCCCCTGCTTTGAACTCAAATGTTAAGTTAAAGTATTCATTTTACATTTATTAATATATATTTGGACGTCAAAATTTAAAGAAAAAGAATGGGAGAGGGAGGGCCTCCCCCGTGGCGCAGCGGTTGAGCGCTGGGTTGCGAAGCTGCCCGCAGCCTCTGCAGTGCCGGTTCAATCCCCAGCTGCTCCCCTGCCACTGGAGGAGGGTCCCACATGGCGCGCAAACCTCTCCTGCCGCCCGCTGCTCCCCTCAGCAGTGTACTTCGGTCCTTCTGCCTGCTCTGCTCCCCGCTCTGGCTCTGGTGAATTCTCTCACCCTCCCATGTGCTTCTGAATGTACCCAGTGCATGTATAAACAAAAACAAAACAAAACAAATAAATAAAATAAAATAAAAGCATGCCTCTATTAAAAAAAAAATTAAAAAAAAAAAAGTTAAAAAAAAAAAAAAAGAATGGGAGAGGGAGCGCAGGACCTCTCCTTTGCTTGAGGATCCCAAGGTATGAGCAGAGACCTACATTAACTAGGGAAAATTTGAAAGATAATTTAGTGGCCTATAAAAGTTCTTTAGGACTAGGAAAGAGGTAGTCAGAAGCCAGAGATATACTCTAAAGAGATGAAGCTTCTTACTATTCCTTCATTTCCCCACAGGTAGCGAACACCAGCATTTCCTAGCACAGAGGGCCTGATTTATGGAAAATCCTCATTAAATATAACACCAATTATTCAATGAAATGGTATTATGAACTCTGAAGGAAAGTACTGTAGATATATATAGATATAAAAATCCAATTTTTTTATTTTCGAGAGTGAAGAAGTACATATTTAGCTTCACACATAGGGAAGCCTATATACAAACATCCTATTTATATGTTTTCTTTTGATCCCAGGTAGATTTGTATTCTCAGCAAACCTTTTATATGAATTGGCTTTGCCTAGGTAAATATGAAGAAAAGGTAAATTGAAAAGAAACTATCTGTTCAGTTTTTCTTTAAATCTACCAGTGTAATTTATATTTAGTTGTGCTTTTATCTCAGTCCATTTATATTGTACTACAATAAAATGGATTAATTCATCATAGGGTTGATCCAGAATAATAAACTTACTCAAGCTTTGTTTTTTCTTAATCTCTTCATTTTTTCTCTGCCCTGACATCTACTTCATATGTGAATCATGATGTCTTCAAGGTTGACATTTAAGAGTGTGGTTTTAGTTACTCTGTTTAATAAAGCAATCCCTACGAATAAGATTCTAGAGACGTAAAAGATAAACATCAAGTTCCAATTAAAAACCTCCGATGCATTTTAATTTCTAAAGCAATTAAAAGAAAAATACAAACATACTTTTTCATAGGCTATATTTCTAACAATACCAGTCAGATTTTTTTGTCAGAAGCTTCTTTTCAAAGTGATAGAGAATTTATTCACACTAGCCAAGATAGGGCATCAGCTTACATGTCCATTGACAGATGAATTAGATAAAGAGACTATGGAATATATGCTCAATGGAATGCCACTCAGCTATTTAAAAAGATGGAATAGTGGCTTTGGGACAAGATGGATATATCTTGAGGTGATTATCCAAAGTGATGTAAGTTAGAAAGTAAAAGACAATTGCCAGTTGGTTTCACTTATTTGTGAAATATAAATAGGCAATGGAAAACACTGACAAAGCACAACAAAATAACTCTTAAGTTCTGTGAAAAATATAGTTGTGCTCCGACAGCAGGGGTAGGAAGGAGGGAGGAGGGAAGGCAGACATTCCAGTGGCACCAGGAACATTTGGTGGAGAATGAGTGAAGCATGTGTGCATGTTGAGGTGTGAAATTGTTCTCCCCAAATTATATAGTTATGTGAACAAATGGCATATCAATAAAATTCCATTGAAAAATAAAATTAGGTGGACATGGTCAGCATACTAATATTCGGCCTTGAGGTCTTAAATATATCTAGGCTTAATTTTATTTTAAATGATTTTATTTTTAGACAAAGGGAAGTGTTTAAATAAAAACTTGAATGCCTTCTCTAAATTCATATTTTTTTGAGCCTTTGGTTTAAAAGGGAGATGTCACAGGCAGCTTGAAAATGAATAGTAAGAGAATTCAGAAAGGTAATTCTGTCTACCAATGTCCTAAAGCATAAGTCCAAATTGATAATTTTCTATAAATGCCCAGATATTTGAGTATACATGCATTGAGAAGAAACAAGTTTTCAAGGAAAAACTTTTTCTAAAGGGTAGGGACAGGGAGGGATAAGCAAAATATTTACCAACAGCACCAAATGAGGAAAACAGAGACTCTTGTCATTCACTAGTTATGTGATCCCAGGGAAGTCCATCTTCTAGGATCCATCTTATAGTTTAATCTCTCTAAGAATGTTCTCGATGACCAGCATACCCAGGCATTGTTCTGGGATGTTATTTGCTGGGACTTGTGCCTCATGAATTGTTGATCACTCCAAGAGTCTCTTAATTGGCATAGGTAAATGAACAGTGTGGGTTGGGATATTTATAAAATTTAACAAATCATGGATTATTGATACCAAAAGAAATTGCCAACCCATACTTGTTATTAGAGGCAGAAAACCAGAGTTGCCCTTATTTCATGAAAACATATTGACAATAAAATCCCTCTGGAAAGCAGAGCACTCACGAATATAGTTTTATTCCTTCTTTACAACAACTCTGGGAAGAAAAAGGCCAGAAATAACATTTTACAACTGAGTTTACAAACTTGTATTGTATGCTTATGACATACGTATAAAACAGCATTCTGGGTGGTAGGGAAGTATATAAAAACCATAGAGATTCTGGCTCAGGGAGGTTATCGGAGAAACTGAATTACAGAGATTTAGCTAGACTGACAAAGTTCCAGAATGAGAATGCTAGTCTCCTGATCTTTTGGCTAGCACAACTTCCTTGTGTCAAATTAAGACAGATAAACTCAAGTAGATTTAAGGTCCCATCTCTTCACTCAGCAAGGAAGGTAATTTAAAATCTAAGTATCTTTAAGTCTTTTGAGCTCACCTCATTTCAAATGAGCATGGATTTTGTTTTCATTTATATGAGGCACTATGAAGATGCTTCATTTCCATGCCAAATGAAGTCACTCGTTGATGTTTTTAGAGATTAAAAATAGAAATTTAAAAATTAATTTTCATATCCATGCTGCATTTATTGTCACCTTATACCCTCAAGACCCATGCAGGGATTTTAGGTGTAGTTGATTCCACACTATGAGCAAATACAGCTTCCTTCTCCAGAGACTTTCATCCTCCCATTCCACATGCCTCCTGTGATCATGTATGAAATGCTTCATCTTTTCATTCTCTCCTTCCTATAGATCCAGCTTTCCAAAATTGGGCCACCTTTTATTATCAAGAGTCAACCCATCTCCAAACCAGAGTCCCGAGCATCCCCTAGCACATCTGTCAGTGGTGGGAGGAACACAGGAGCCAGGACCCTGGCAGATATCAAGGCTCGAGCCCAGCAAGCAAGGGCCCAACGGGAGGCGGCAGCAGCGGCTGCTGTAGCTGCTGCAGCGAGCATCGTTTCTGGTGCCATGGGGAGCCCAGGAGAGGGTGGAAAGGCAAGGACCCTGGCACATATCAAAGAGCAGACAAAAGCCAAGCTCTTTGCAAAGCATCAAGCCCGAGTCCACCTCTTCCAGAACACTAAAGAGTCCCGATTGCCTCCACTCAGTTCAAAGGAAGGGCCTCCAAGCTTAGAAGTCTCTTCAACTCCTGAAACAAAAGTTGAAGGCTCAACTGGTGTCATCATTGCCAATCCAAACTGTCGATCTCCTACCAACAAGTCCATGCACCTCCGGGAGACCACCACTGTATTTCAGCAATCTCTTAATCCAGCTAAACTTCCAGAAACTGCCACTGATTTATCTGTGCATAGTTCTGACGAAACTATACCTGTGTCACATTTATCTGAGAAAATTATTTCATCTACCTCTTCTGAAAATAGCAGTGTGCCCATGCTTTTTAATAAAAATTCTGTCCCTGTGTCTGTTTGCAGCACTGCTATGTCGGGAGCAATTAAAGAACATCCCTTTGTGAGTTCTGTTGATAAATCCTCTGTTCTGATGTCTGTTGACAGTGCAAACACTACAATTTCTGCTTGTAATATAAGCATGTTAAAAACCATCCAGGGAACTGACACTCCATGCATAGCCATTATACCAAAATGTATTGAAAGCACTCCTATTCCCACCACTACAGAGGGCTCCGGTGTGTCGAACTCCATGGACGACAAGCAGTTGCTCATGTCAAGCAGCAGTGCCAGTAACATAGTCTCCAGTCAGTACACCTCTGTGCCAACTCCCTCCGTCGGAAATAGCTTGCCAAACCATCTCTCCACTAGCTCTGTCTTGATTCCCCCAACAGGAATTAACAGATTTCCTTCCGAGAAGATAACCATGCCCAAGAGTGAGGAGCAGGCCTCAGCATCCATGGGCACCACTGTGAGAGCAGCACTCAGCTGCAGGGATTCCGTCACCGTCACAGACACTCTGGTTGCACGCCCACCCATGGCAATGTTTACTGGAAGCATGCTAACAATAAACTCTTACGATAGTCCTCCCAAGTTAAGTGCTGAAAGCTTGGACAAAAATTCAGGGCCTCGCAACAGGGTGGACAATTCTGGGAAACCTCAGCAACCTCCCGGGGGCTTTGCACCAGCAGCCATAAATAGATCGATTCCTTGTAAAGTCATCGTTGACCACAGCGCCACGCTGACCTCCACTTTATCTCTGACAGTCTCCATTGAAAGTGCAGAAGCCAGCTTGGACCTCCAGAGCCGATCGGTGAGGACAGAAGCGCCCATACAGCCCATGGCATGTCCTCAGGTATCTGTCATTAGCAGGCCTGAGCCGGTTGTAAGTGAAGGCGTTGATCATGGTTCTGGTTTCATTGCTGTTTCTGCAGCAAAACAAGACTGTAAAACGATGCAGGCCACCTGCACCAGTCTCCGGGAAGTACCCCTTGTTGTTCCAGACAAATTAAATGAGGGGACTGCCCCTAGCAATAGCTTTGCTGAGCAGGCATGTGTCCCAACCACTTTCAAAAGTGAAGCAGACACAACCTGTAGCAATCAGTATAATCCAGGCAACCGGATTTGCTGGAATGATGAAGGGGTGAGGACCACAGGACAGCCTCTGGTCAGTCACTCGAGTTCAAGTAAACAGAAAGAATATCTAGAGCAGAGCTGTCCAAAGGCTATCAAAACCGAACATGCCAGCTACTCACACATGTCAGAACTTCATCCCAGGAATCTGATAACAAATGTCACTCTTCCTGTGAAATCCGAACCTCATGATGTGGACAAGGGCTTCAGAATGGACACTGAAGACTTCCCTGGCCCTGAGCTGCCTCCACCAGCTGCAGAGGCAGCCCCCAGTGTGCAGCAGACACCAAATGTGAAGGCTCCCACTTCTGGTCCGATGGAAGAGGCCATTTCCTTGGCTACAGACAACCTGAAAAGAGTCTCCAATGCAGGGAGCTCAAGCTGTCGTCTGTCCTCAGTGGAGGCTAACAATCCACTGGTGACACAGTTGCTGCAGGGCAACCTGCCTTTGGAAAAAGTGTTGCCACAGCCCAGGCTGGGAGCCAAACTCGAAATTAACAGGCTTCCTCTGCCTCTTCAAACTACCTCAGTGGGCAAAATAGCACCAGAGAGGAACATGGTTGAAATGCCTTCCAGCTCTCCAAATCCAGAAGGAAAGGGCTACTTGGCAGGGACTCTTGCACCCTTACAAATGAGAAAGAGAGAAAACCACCCCAAAAAGAGAGTAGCCCGGACTGTGGGGGAACACACTCAAGTGAAATGTGAACCAGGGAAATTGTTGGTGGACTCAGATGTTAAAGGGGTGCCTTGTGTCATCAACTCCGGCATGAATCAGCTGGGACATGGCCAACCATTTAAGCAAGAGTGGCTGAACAAGCACGCCATGCAGAACAGAATTGTTCACAGCCCTGAGGTCAAACAGCAGAAGCGACTGCTGCCCTCCTGTAGCTTCCAGCAGAACCTGTTTCACATTGACAAGAATGGCGGCTTCCACCCTGATGCTGGTACCTCACACAGACAGCAGTTTTACCAAATGCCTATGGCAGCCAGGGGCCCTATTCCTACTGCAGCTCTGTTGCAGGCCTCTGCCAAGACCCCAGTGGGCTGTAATGCATTTGCCTTCAATAGGCATCTTGAACAGAAGGGATTGGGAGAAGTCGGTCTCTCTTCAGCACCTCACCAGCTAAGGCTAAGCAACATGCTGTCCCCCAGTATACCCATTAAAGAAGGTGATGACGTGGGAGGGGCTGCACACCCAATGCCAAACAAAGCACTAGTGCATCCTCCACCCCCACCACCACCTCCCCCTCCACCCTTGGCTTTGCCCCCACCTCCCCCACCACCACCTCCACTACCTCCACCTCTTCCTAATGCAGAAGTCCCGTCCGATCAAAAACAACCGCCAGTTACCATGGAAACCACTAAGCGACTTAGTTGGCCACAGTCCACGGGCATATGTAGCAATATAAAATCGGAACCTCTTTCTTTTGAGGAAGGTTTAAGCAGCAGCTGTGAACTGGGCATGAAACAAGTTTCCTATGACCAGAATGAAATGAAAGAACAGTTAAAAGCATTTGCGCTAAAAAATGCAGATTTCTCTTCCTATTTGCTTTCTGAGCCACAAAAGCCTTTTACCCAATTAGCTGCTCAGAAAATGCAGGTGCAGCAACAACAGCAGCTCTGTGGAAATTATCCAACAATACACTTTGGTAGCACGAGCTTCAAAAGGGCAGCATCTGCAATTGAAAAGTCTATTGGGATTTTGGGAAGTGGCTCCAACCCTGCCACCGGCCTGCCTGGTCAGAACGCTCAGATGCCCGTCCAGAACTTTGCCGACAGCAGCAATGCGGATGAATTGGAACTGAAATGCTCTTGCCGGCTGAAAGCCATGATTGTGTGCAAAGGCTGTGGGGCCTTCTGCCACGATGACTGCATAGGTCCTTCAAAACTCTGTGTAGCTTGCCTGGTTGTGCGATAGGAGCTGAATGCAAGATGCAGTATCCCTTTTCAACATGGAAAAGCCAAACGGCATCAGCTGCAACAAATTGAATAACTCGGTGGTTTATAGCACGCTAATTTATTTTACTTTGGAACAGATTATCTTTTCTCTGTGGGATTATTATTTTCTTGCATTTCTCAGAAAAGGGAGATTGCATCTCAATTGAGTGGCTCACCAGCATGTTTTTTGCATACTTAGTTGCGGTTTCCAGCTTGGAAAATTTCTGTCCAAGGATATACAGTTCGCTAGCCCGTTCATCTTTTTTTAATCCAGGTGTAGGTAGGAAAGGACATTTTAATGACTTACTGCTAATCGAAATGAGGAGTGCTAGAAAGAGAATGGCAAAAGGGACCTAAGGTGGTTATGCGATCTTCTGCAAGTTGACTCTAACACAAAGGACCTACGGTCACCACAGTGATTAAATTGTATTTGGAGAGGGGAATCTGATTTAAATACGATTCCTCATATTTACTCGTCACAAAAGATGCATTAAAGGAGGCATGCCATTAATTAACCTCACTGTCCTTTTTCCCTTTCCTCCCATTTTTTCTCTTTCCAGAGGCTGGCAAAATTTCTAGGTCTGCCTTGGACATTGTACACACACTGTACTGAAACTGCAGTGTGAGCCTCTTGCCCAGTAATCTGGTCTGAGCGCTTTGACACCTGATATTGTTAAGATCCATTGGCCAGCAGAGAGCCACTGGCCTGGCAAATTGCAGAACTTCATGTGTGGCTTTTAAGAGCAAGTATGAAAAAAAAAAAAAGCCCCCAAATCAAAAGCAGGCAAGTAAAAGGCTTGTATGCCAATGCATAAACGGGTTGATAATAGAAATTGTAGTCCATTCTCTTCACTAATGCAGTTTGGGGGGAAATAATTGTAGTCCTTTATTGGTGACATTGCATTCTGGCTTCCAGTTCAGCAGAGTATGGACACCTCTTCCTAAAAGTGTCATTGCTGACAAAAAGGAACTACAGAAAGCTGAAGTGCGGACATTTTCCTCAACATATTTTTTCCATGATTCATGATCTATATATCATTATATTTGACTTTGAAATAGTCATTATTTTAAAAATCTTCCTAGGTATTGCATGTCTTCCTGCCCCTCAGGTGAATTTAGGACATTCTTCATATTTAGGGGAATAGAACTGTTTCTGAAAAAGGGATACTGCATCTTACAAATATTGTCAGTGTTTATCCTGTAAAGTCTGAGTGTGGAGTATTTGAGCTGCGTTTCCAGATACTTTGGCCAACCTCATGCCAGAGCAAAGTTGCCCTTCAGAAGGCTCTGTTCCCCAAGGCAAAGTGAAAAGCACATCCTCATTGTGGAAGATGAAAGACAACAGAACCCACGCCCATTTAACTTCAGATTACAGAGCACAAAATGTGGTTTGCCATTAATCCACTGATTCATGGTGGCTGGAGAACTAAAAAAAGGGGGGAGGGAAATCATCCACATCCAGGGTAAGAATGACAGATATTTTCACATGGGATTATCCTAATCAATGTACACTTTTAACATTCCCTTAAAATATGTCTTAAACATAAACTGGAATGAGCAGGAAATACATTCCTGGAAACCACATGATTTTTGATAGTAATCAACCATGGTATGTTGTTTTTCTCCATATTATTGTGATGCTGCCAAATTTCTTTAAGTGATGGACATGTCATTTTTTAAAACACATTACAGATAATGAAAGATTATCTTAAAAAAGGAAAGAAAAGCAAGGAAGGGCCAGCTTCTGTGGCCACAATTTGGTGCTTCAGTACAGTCACTTCTGTTCTTCACATTAAAATGATCAAAATAAATGACTAAGAAAATTAGCAATGCACTTAACCAGCCCTTCTTTCCCAAGGATGCAGCCTACGCCCAGCGGATCCTTGGTTCACTCTGTGCCGGGTTGTGATTGGGTGGAGTACTAGCCCGTTGTGTCTGTCTGGTCTGCTTCGCTCTGATATCATCTTGGTTCAGAAGATCATGCTTTTATCTCACAGAGGGACACCCCTAAAATACAGACACTTGTATGCCAACTCCTTCCAGATTTAGTCGCCGCTATACCAGTGTCAGATACTGTCTACACCAGCAGTTTCAAAACTACCATATTAGTAACTGACACTGTGTTGAAAGAAACTCTTGTCTACAGAACTTTTACACTCTGTATATGAGGTACAATTAAGGCAGATGTGCTGTTGAGCTCACTAACACTTCCATCATTTGGAACCTGCAATTTGCTTACTGGGAATAAAGAAAAGTGTCCTTCTGCATGTTTTGATTTTTCACCTATGTAGGTTTGGAGAATCAGTTCTTGATTATGCATGGATTCTAGCACCCAGGTCCAAAGAGCATAATTTTTCTGTACCCCTTTTTTTTCTTGCCCCAGTTTAAATTCCTAATGTTTGCATATAATACTGAAAAATTCCTATCTTTGGGCTAAAATATGGAAAGAAAGAAAAATTCAGAAGTAAAATATGGGTGGGCTGATTTACAATGGCCGCTTAATTTATATACACAAAACCATTAATTTTGCATTGGATGAGTAGGTTCTAAGTTTCCTGATTTTCACAGGTGTCGGCCTATGTGCAAAAGGTGTTTGTTATTTACTACATAGTCACTGTGGTGTAATGTGCAAATTTTAGTGTGTGCATTATCCTGATTATTGGACACTCTGTTATCCCTATCAGGAATAGAACTTGCACATGTAACATGTAATTTTTTTGTTGTTGTTATCACAAAGGATGTATTTCCCTAAGTAGCACTTTTGGAGCAGGGGAAGGAAGAAAACTGCTATTCCCTAACCCCCTCCTATGATATGATATGCATATGCCTGAGGTGTGTAAAGACATTTAGGTAGTTAATGGGCATGTTAATAAGAACGTTCTGATGCAAATTCATTTTCAAAATGAAAATGTTTCTCCTTCCCCAAAGTGAGAATAGCAGAACTGTCGGTGAACTGAGCACCATAGTTATATATATTTCCCTGCTAAGGTCTAGTTTGAAGAAAAAAACTTGAAAACAAACCTATGAGGTTGAGCCTGGTTGCTATAAAGACTTTGTGGTGGTGTGTGTTTTGGGGATGAGCTATAGAAGGTTTAGTTGGCGTCTAGACCTTGCGTATTCTTTCTTATTCAAAATAAACACAGAAACAAATGGTTTGGTGCATTTGGTGCTTCATAATATAGTCAAGAGTAAGAATACATGATGCTGCAGCCCCATTTCATTTACAAACACTCGCACAGTTTCAAAGGAGGAAGTTCCTGTGGCCTTGGTTTCCCAGCTCCCGCTTGGTCTGGTGAAGTCCCGGGTCACAGAAGCTGAAGCCGAGCTTAGGGTTGCATCGTCTCTCTGGTGTGGAGGCTGGCACCGCACTAGCTGCCTGGCGGGTGTGACCCCGCCGAACATACAGAGCTCAGAGTCGCTGTCCATCTGTGTTTCCAGAGAACAATGTGAAGAGTCCTAGGAAAGGAACTCAGCAGACTGTCAGGGGCCTATGTAGCCAAAATGTCACTGAATAGAAAAACCTTGTCGTCTTCAGTCCTCATGCTTTGTCACTGTAAAGCGAACAAAAAGCATTTTTACTATAATTTAAAGGAGCTGCTTTTTTATAGCACATACTATTTCGCTTTGTACTATATTTGATAGTAGCAGAATAATTTAGACTGTAGAGAAACTTTGTTGTATTTGTACTGTTCATGAATGTTTCAAAGAAAGTGCTTTACTTGGTTGCCATAATTTTCTTGTACTGCTGTATTTTTTCCCCCTGCTTCATGGAATCTTAATCTAATTCATATTTTCAGTACCTTTTTTTTAAAATGTGTTTGTGTATTTTTTTTTTTTTTTGGTCAGTATTCTGAATGTTTACATCTGTTTGACATTAGCCATTTAATGCCTTTTTTAAAGGTGGTATTACTCCTACAGTATAACAGCAAAATGTGAAATCAACCCAAACATAACATGCATGACAAACACAGATTGGGGGCAAAGACCCTGAACGTACATAGACATTTTATATCAGCATACAGAAAAGTAAAACCCTCCTTCAGTCCTCTACCAAAGAATATATTCTTCCCACAGGAAAAACTCAGAAAAGGTGTGTAAAATCCTCAGAAGGGGGAGCAGTTGATTCAGTGAGACTGCTACAATTTAATACTGTTATGCTTGCTTTGATACCTGACTAAATGTGACTGAGTGCAACAAGCATTGAAAAAATTTTTAGACAGTGTTTTGTTTAGAATTCAGGGATCATGCATTCTTTAATGGTGCTGTTTGTTTTTTATTTCTTCTTTTCTATAAAGAAAAAAAGTGTTGCCTACAAAAGTGACTGCTCACAATACCATAAGTTAAATGAAATGAAATGTTTGTCTCTTCATATTTCTGTTTTTCCCTTTCTCAAAGTAACAATTTGGGTTTCAATATTAAAATATGCTGGAGAAAATAAAGAAATTAAACATTAAATGGTTGTCATTTTTTATGAAATAGGTAAATATACATACATGACACACAAATAAGTACTCTGAAATTTTTAATTGTGGAAAAATACTTAGGGAAAACATGCTATACTATTAGATTAGCTGTGCTGCTTTTTGGTATGGTGAATTGTCAATGTGCAATTGCTGAAACAGTAAAAACCCAAAACAAATCTTTTGATTAACCATATGAATATTCTTATTTAAAAATTTATTTGGACCTTACTGTTTTCACAAAGATCTTGTGAATTCTTTATAACAAAAAATTCAGGTAAAAAATCATTACTGCCATATCTAATTTTAATTTTCAAAATGAATATACTTTCAAATTCTTTATTAACAGTTTTTATTGTTAGTTCTTATCTTGCATTAAATATTACAGTTGCGACTATTTGAATAAAATGCTCTGAACCATTAGAACAGAATTGTCAAAGTTATATTTACATTGATCTAAAAATAACCTTATTTTTACAGTAAGATGAATCAGAGAACATTAAAATCTAACTTCAACTGTGTTTTTATGGAAAGTGCGGTCTTTAGCCACCAGATGGCGAAAGAGGATATTTACTTTTGGAAGAAACAAAACATGCTTCTTACTCCTCCCAAAACACAAATGATTATAATAATGGAAGTCCAACTTATACAAGTAAGTCAGTGGAAAATAAATACTTCTAAGTTTCATTAAATTATTTTCACTGCAGTGATGACTTTCTCTTATGTTGTATTTTTTAAATGTTTACAAAATGCTTTCTTTTATGTAGAGTTGCATAATTTTTGTTTTCACTGCATTATTCAATAGACATCTATAGTTTTATGTTTTAATTCATACTAAATGGGTACAATTATACAATTATATATAACTATTCCATTATTCATAATAGTCTTATTAAAGTGGCCTAATTTGAGTAACGATCACTCTTAGAATCTAAAGTACTTATTTGTATCCATCATAGTTCTTATATATAAGAAAACCAGTTTTATCCAGTGACTCATCTGTTTTCATATAGTTTCTTCAATGTAATTGAAGGTAGTTACATATTTCAGAATCTTGCCAGGGCAGTGTTTATACAACAGATTCAGGCTTCATTCTGCAGACACAGTTGAACAGAAATCCTAGAAAGTGTTTTTCATAAAATAATTTGAAAATTTTATTACAGGTTATTTAGACTTAATATTTTAAGTTCAGAACATAGACATTTATCCATATAATATACAGAAATTGAAACTTGGATTACACCAATGTCACAGATAACCTGGATGTCTAAATTAAGCAGTGATCCTAGGTCTCCTCAATACCAAAATGTGTACCCAAGTTGCCAGAGCAAGTGATTTCCATGAATTCTCAGTAATGGAGGAAGGCCACCTGACTTACAAAGCAAAAGCTGAAATTTTTCCATTTTATTTTAAATAAATAAAACTATTTATAAAACACTTCAAGTGTTTCAACTATATTAGTATCCCTTTTGACATTTAACTGCAAGTAAACTATCTAAGATATCCTGGAAGGCACTGACCAAATCAATGCTGGACAAATTTTTAAAAATGGCCTTATAACAACAAATCAAAGAAGACTGATTGAATATCACTTATTTGAACAAAGGAGATCCCTGAATCTGCTTTATCAATAGTTAAAGATGTATATTTTATCCATTGCATTTATGGGAAATGTTTCTGAGATATTTTCTTTTGGCTACAATTTCCATCTGCTATCTATATTTAAATTGTTTAATATGGTTCAAAGTTGAACTTTAACCTAAACATAAGGTGTCCAGGAGATTCTCCTTTTTGCTTTTCCAAGTTCACCATTAAGGGGACACTCTCCATAAATATCCACTTGGCCAATGGGTGGGAGTATCAGCTGGTTTAACAGAAGGTCCTGGACACTTGAAATTTCACAGGATCACCTCATCTTCTGTAGGGTCATCACCAAGTATTAGTAGCTGGTAAATGGAAAATAGGTTTCACATTTTATCCAAACTTGTGTTACTAGTTTCAAGTGATTTTATTTCAGGAAAACAATATTCCAAATCTTCATTCTTCAGTGATGGAATATTGAGAAACTTCAGAGCATTACAGAACTAGTTGATGTATTTGACTTTTTAATATACATGATTCTGGGATGCCTTACACATTCCAGAGAGAGGGAAGAGTGGTTGGCCTCAGTGAGTGGAGAGACCACATGAATTCCAGTATGTTCTCTCCCTGAGTAAAGGCTGCAACATTTGTGTATGTACACTAATACACAAAAGACCTGAAATCTTTTTTTTTTTTTAAATGAAATCTTAATGTAACATAAAATTCACTTGCCAAGCAGTTTAAATATTAAAAAGAGGAGTCAAAGGCTTGATGTATTTGTGGAGACAGTTCTCCATGGTGGTTTCTAAAAGGAACCAATAAAATTTTATGCCTCTTTTTAATGTGTAGGCTCAATGATAATTTTTTTTTAGTACTATAATTTTTTGGGTAAAATAATCTTTTTACCTCCAGGGACTCAAAAACCTATGGAATATGAGTTGTTATCTTAAAAAGAAACATTTAGAATTCAAAAACTTTTAAAAACCACACTTAGGACTATGGATAATTTATTACCACTAATCTTCAAACACCTAATTTCCTTACTGCCAGAAGCCAGCTCGGAGCATACCACTCACCTTTTGATGTTGAGAATGACAGTGTGACGGTGGTAGCAGCTGGTTTCTTTTTCTTTTTTTTTCTCTTCATATTTTTACATTGGAAAGGTTCTTTGTGAAAACATCTTAGTCCAAAGAGCTTTGTTGAGAAGAAACTGGGAATAATTGAGGATGCCATCCTCTACAATTACAATTTTCTAATTCTTATTCTCTCAGTTAGAAACTAATCATTTTCAAGTCTTCAGTATTCATGATTTCAATTTGAAGGAAATAAATTCTTCATATAAATATTTTTTTAGAGATTTAACCATATGCTACACCAGATACCAGATACAGCAATTTTCAAAATTGTTCCAAAGGGCATGTTCTTTTTTAAAAATGAAAATACTTTTGAAATGCTATGTATTGAGTGCTGGGGAGCATTTTACTGGTATTAATTATAACATTTCTCCTTAGAAAAATTCTATCATGTAGGTACTGGTATATCAATGTGAAAATGAGGAAGTTGTGACTTAGTTTTGAGAATACACACTAAGGTCTGGGGTATTAAAGAAGATTTTTGACAGACCAAGGCCTGGTCTTTTTACTGGCTAGAAGACTTACAGTGGCTACTACACAGATGACAAGGTACAGGGAATTCTGAGAGCTTTCACAGGGCCCAAGCCTCGAGAAAGTTTAGGCTAGAGGGGAAAATGGTAATAAATTCTAAGAACTGGAAAACTTTCAGTGCCAAGATTTAGCCAATATTCAATGAGCAAATATATTTTTTTTTTTTGTTCACCATTTGTATGTTTGATGCTATATGATAGTGGATATAAAGTTTTATTTATGACTTGATTCCTCAAGAAAAATGAAGTCATCCAACATACCCTAAATGTGTTGTGCTTTAACATTAGACCACAAAACATTGCCATAAGGTATAGGGAATTTTCACAGAAATTCCCTATATACCTTTCCAGGAAATATCCTATTTCCCAGAACAGAATAGATGTGGATGGGATATTAATTGATGAGATGGAGATTTTGGATACATAAATCATTGAAATCATAATTTAATTACCTATCTGGATTCAGAGTAAAATATTTAGGCAATATAATATGAGAGGCAATATAGTTTTCTCTGCATTTTCTACTACAGGAATTATACTTTGTCACTTAAAATAGCAAATAAAAATAAACACTCATTTGTATGAAGAATGGATTGTCTTCAAATTTGGCTCATCTGGAGAAAGCAGCACAGATGGTCTGTTTTGCTTCAGGACTGTGGTTTCGTGCCCTGCATGATTCACCAGAGAAGGTAAATCAGCATCTGCTCATTTCATTTTGGGTTCCACTGTTGTAATAATAGGTAGTAATATGCATTAACATCCTTTTGTCACTAGACCTTAGCAGGAAAATGAATGTTACCTTCTAGCTAAATTAGGGATGATTTTTCCTACAGGTTTGCATTCAAATTAATGAGAGAATGCTTAAAAAAAAAAAAAAAGAAAAAGATCTAAGATGAGGACATAGAATGCTTTTTGGCTGAGATGTAGTAAATCATCTTTTTTTTTAAGTATAAAATTTATCAGATAGGAAAAACTGTTCTGCAGTTGGCTGTTATTATACATAGTCATTTATTAAAATATTTTCACAGGAAATATCTGTGTGTATAACTTGTGAGAATGGATAAATAGCATGCAGCACATAGATTTGATCTGTTTGTGTGATTCAAAATTGGCTCCTGTAAGTATTACTAAGTATGATTAATAACTTTAATAATGGGAAATCTGATTTCCTGACCCATAGTTCAGTAAATAGACTTATGCAAATCTAAAGAGGTGAACTCCTGCATGGGAAGTCAATGTCTCCCTGGGCTGTGCATAATACAGATTTCTAATTTCCTTTTTGACCATTTCCTGAGTTAGAGTTACAGAACTACCATATAACTAAAATGAAACCTACTGAAGAGCAGGTATAGAATCTCATCAATTTTGGTATCTCTAGCAGCTTTCATCACTCACAACATGGGATGATCCATTCTTGCACAACTTGTTCACTTTGTTGGCTTCCTCTCTGCCAGACTCTGTCATGGTTGCCTGAAGTACATAATGAACACTCAAAAGTGCTTGAATTTTTATTCTCATTGAGGAAGACAGGATATGCCATACCTAATATGTTTGAATATGGAAAGCACTATGAGGGAAAATAAAGCATCGGAAGGGCACAGGAAATATTGTAAATCTCCAAAGGAATTTGTAAATGTCCATAGGGTTCTCAGGGAGGTCTCACTGATAAATCTCACTGAGTAGGTATCACTGTGTAGGTCTCACTCTCCACCTACTCACCAGTTTTATATATTGAAGTCACTGAATG